TGATGATGATGATGATGACGAGTGATTGGGGGTTTGGATATGAGGAAATTCATTGTAGTTTCTTTTGAATATGTTTTTCAGGGCTGAATATGGGAACTTTGATTTCACATTTTGAGGAGAGGAGGCCACAAGGAGAGGAGGGGAAAGGAGGAGAAAGAGCTAGATTTGTGTATGACTTGATCGCCGATCTTCAAGAAGGAACGAATTATTTGATTTCTATTTGAATTTTCTTGTTTTTTCCTTGAATTTTGTACCGATCAGATGGGGGGATCAGAGAAGTCCTAACGGTCGTTCGTTATACATAATATTTTGGTTACTGTGAAATAATTAAGAAATCATGTGTAAATATCGTTAATTTTTTGGACTAGTTGGCTTATAATCAGTTGCTAATGACGAAATAATCATGAAATTATATGTAAATATAGCTAAATTTTAGGCTAACTAGATTATAATTAGTTGCAATGGTAGAATATCAGTGGGTGGTTTATCTGATGGAAAATTTGTGACATGAAAATGAAAGAACTGTGTTTGATTTTATTCTCTCTAACTACTTAAAAAAAGAATGTTTACAACTCTCTCAATCTTAATTACAATTTGGATTTTTTGATTACTAAAGAGAAGAGAATTGATCTGAATTCTCCCCTTTGTTTAAGTCTGGGTTCTTCACGGTAGCGATGGAGTGCCTCCCTCGAATGCTCGCATCGAGTTTGCTCTTCGTTGACGATCCGACGTTTCACTTCCCTGGAATGATATCTTCTCCTCACGATTTGATATTGTGGAGGACTTGTGTGACAAGTTTGAAAATCTACATGAGTTGATAACTCAGAGAGAGTTTAAACTCTTAAAAAAGAGTTGATTTGAACCGAAAATCGGTTAATAAGCCAAGGATGAAAGCTCATTGATCTCGGTTGCTGAAAAACGCTTCTAGATCGGATGGTTGAAGAAGCCCTTTGCTAATCTCTAGATCCGAAAATGCTCCAAAGATCCAAAGATCCCCAAAATATCCAAAGATCTCAACTAAGCTGGTTTTTCAGGTATTTATAGGCGATTAGGGGGTGTAACCGCCCCTAAAATCGCTCCTTTGTGGGGCTTATAGGATGTAACCGCCCCTTAAATCACTCCTGACTCAGATCGTGAGAAACGATTTTTCCGTTCAGCTCGTGTTTGAATGAGTCAAATGCAAGAATTACGTTCTGGCATGAATTCTGTGTTCAAATGCAGCGTCGTCAGGTTGTAACTCTCGCTTTTGATTGTGAAGACTATTGATCAGAGCTTTCATCGATTATTGTGAAGGTCGTCAGATTGTAACCTTCATCGATCTATGTAAAAATCTTCAAATTATAGTCTTCTGAAAACCATCAAATTATAGATTTCATCATCAGTGTTTGATGGGGATCAGCTATCTGTAGTAATTTTTAGACAGCCTACATGGTTCTTAAAAATACTGTCGTATTTCTTTAATATGAAGGTTACGTGTTTATTATTAAGTTTACGTGTTTGTTGTTAAGATTACGGGTTGGTTGTTAATGTTACAAGTTGCTTGTTAATGTTATGGGTTAGTTGTTAAGGTTACAGGTTGCTTGTTAAGGTTACGAGTTATTTGTTAAGGTTATACGGGTTGCTTGTTAAGATTACACATTGTTTGTTAAGGTTACTGGTTAACAAACCAACACGTAACCTTAACGCATAACCTTAATAAGCAACCCGTAACCTTAACAAGATACATGTAAATCACTTGGCAACGCATAACCTTAACAAGCAACCCATAACCTTAATGGTCAACGCGTATAATCTTAACAAGTAACTCGTAACCTTAACAACCAATGCGTATAGCCTTAACAACCAACCTGTAACCTTAACAAGTAACCAACAAGCAACCCGTAACCTTAACAACCAACGAGTAACCTTAACAATCAACGCGTAACATTAACAAGCAACCCTTAACCTTAACAAGCTACACGTAAACCGCTTGGTAATGCGTAACCTTAATAAGAAACCCGTGACCTTAATAATCAAGGCGTATAACCTTAACAACCAACGCGTATAACCCTAACAACCAATGCGTAACCTTAACAAGCAACCTGTAACATTAACAAGCAAGTTGTAACCTTAATAATCAACGCATAACCTTAACAAGTAACCCATAATCTTAACAAGCAACGCGTAACCTTAACAACCAATACGTAAAAAAACCACTTGGTTTAAGAGTAAAATTAGGGGTTTGAAGATAAAAACTTACAATCAAGCAAACACTCTCAATTTTTTTTTCTAAACATCTTCATACATATTACAAAAACAACACATTGTCTGCAAGCAGGCCCATTGAAAATTCTTCCATCACAATTCAACGTTTTAACAAAATGGATGTCTACTTTTCATTTAGTTCTTTCATAATACTAATTTACACTTGCAATGATCAGTAACGTTGTGCACAAATTTCTGAAAAAAAATAAAAAATACTATAGAAGACCTACAAATTTCTTCCTAAAAAGCCTTGATGTTCCCATCACCTGATCCAAATCCAAATCCCTCCTCCTCTTCATCATCATCATTGTCTCATCTCCGCCTCTAAAAATATCGACACCAAACAACCTCACGACCTTCGCTTTGGAGTGGCGGAGCCTGCCCTGGCGGAGCTCATTGGCGTAGGTGTGTTTCCTGAGCATGTCGACGACCTCGGCTTTAGAGTGGCAGGCCAAGAACCCAAGCTCGGCGGCGTCGGAGGGGTTTGACGCCGAGAGGGGCTTTAAGTTGGTGACGTCGTCGCGGCCGCGGAAACGCTGGGCGGCGACGTCCTAGGAACGGGCGACAAGCTCGGAGTTGAAGGTGTAGAGCCAGATGTGCCGGTGCTTCTCGTAGATCTAGGCGTTCCAGCGACTGTTGGGCTGGGGGACGACGCCCTTGTACTGGGAGGAGGGGAGCTTCCTTGATTCGGCCTCGGCGCCAGTCTCGGGATTGAGGACGACCCTGGAGTCGCCGCTTCTCATGCGCTGCAGTTGGGCGGTGGTGCAGGGTCTTCGAAGAAGACAGTGTTGATGAAGAGGTTGGATGGCTTGGGTTCCTTCTCTTGTTTACCTCCCAGCCGATCAATGCTCATAAGAGAGATAAAGGATATTATAGTCTTTACCTGTGTAAAATTCTTTGGCTTTGTGTTTTGGGGGCTCAGAGAACAAAAATTTTATTTTTTAGGGTAAAACACCCATTAAAAAGTCTTATAGAGATGAGAGGCACATTTTCTTTTAGTTTTGGGGGCCGGAAACATTTTTCTCTAAAAAGAATTGTCAGTTATAGAAGTACGCAATCAACTAGCTAGCCGCTTTCTTTTTTGTTATTGAAAGGAGAGTGGGTCCAACTTAGATTACAGTATCATGTGTGTTTTGCACCAGTAATTAATAGTTATAATAATAATAGCAACACTAGCCATCTTCCTTAGACGTGTTCGATCTATATCTTCAACGACTCATTGCATAACATAAAAATAGGACAAGTCATGAGACCACGTCCTACTCCCGAAGCTCATTATTGTCTCCTTTATCCGCAAACGAGAACACGCACGTTTACAAAGCAGCAGCGGCAACAAAACCAGAATCCCAAGATTCTAATCCGCACCGCGTCCGTCTCCAACAATAAACGACGCTTTAGTTATGCGTCCCTTCCCTTCCCAATATTTAGTGTATACGCCCCCTTCTCCTCTCTCTTAGCCTCTGCCCCCTTAAAAGAGATTGAGGATGAGGGGCATGAGTAGGCTCGCAACGGGCGCAACCCTCGCCGCGGCCGTGAGCCTGATGACCCTTATCGTCATCCTCCTCTTTCTCCTGGTGAGCTTGTTCTGCTCGCTGGCTCGGGAGAAGAGGCATCAATGTCGAAATGATGATGATGATGATGTCGCGGTCGAGTCGGAAGGGCGGCCGCCTCGGCCTCTAAGCTTTCCTTTCTACGGCCACGGAGTGTTGAGAGCTCCGACTAAGTATCTCCTCTCCGTTCCCAATGTTAGCGCGCAATGAAGGTTGACGGTAGTGGGATTGGAGGTGCCGTGGGCGGGGTGCGGTGTGGTAGTCTGACTGGACAGATGAGCGTCGGTGCCGAGTGCGTCTATCGGGTGTGAAGTTAGATGGGTAGTGCCGGGTCCGGAAAAAGGGCGGGCGCTCGGCCTCTAAAGCTTCCTTTCTACGGCCAAACGGAGTGTGTTGAAGAGGGCTGCCGACTAACGTATCTCCCTTGCCATGCCCCGCGTTGCGCGAGCCCTGGCCGCGGAAACGCTGGGCGGCGACGTCCTAGGAACGGGCGACAAGCTCGGAGTTGAAGGTGTAGAGCCAGATGTGCCGGTGCTTCTCGTAGATCTAGGCGTTCCAGCGACTGTTGGGCTGGGGGACGACGCCCTTGTACTGGGAGGAGGGGAGCTTCCTTGATTCGGCCTCGGCGCCAGTCTCGGGATTGAGGACGACCCTGGAGTCGCCGCTTCTCATGCGCTGCAGTTGGGCGGTGGTGCAGGGTCTTCGAAGAAGACAGTGTTGATGAAGAGGTTGGATGGCTTGGGTTCCTTCTCTTGTTTACCTCCCAGCCGATCAATGCTCATAAGAGAGATAAAGGATATTATAGTCTTTACCTGTGTAAAATTCTTTGGCTTTGTGTTTTGGGGGCTCAGAGAACAAAAATTTTATTTTTTAGGGTAAAACACCCATTAAAAAGTCTTATAGAGATGAGAGGCACATTTTCTTTTAGTTTTGGGGGCCGGAAACATTTTTCTCTAAAAAGAATTGTCAGTTATAGAAGTACGCAATCAACTAGCTAGCCGCTTTCTTTTTTGTTATTGAAAGGAGAGTGGGTCCAACTTAGATTACAGTATCATGTGTGTTTTGCACCAGTAATTAATAGTTATAATAATAATAGCAACACTAGCCATCTTCCTTAGACGTGTTCGATCTATATCTTCAACGACTCATTGCATAACATAAAAATAGGACAAGTCATGAGACCACGTCCTACTCCCGAAGCTCATTATTGTCTCCTTTATCCGCAAACGAGAACACGCACGTTTACAAAGCAGCAGCGGCAACAAAACCAGAATCCCAAGATTCTAATCCGCACCGCGTCCGTCTCCAACAATAAACGACGCTTTAGTTATGCGTCCCTTCCCTTCCCAATATTTAGTGTATACGCCCCCTTCTCCTCTCTCTTAGCCTCTGCCCCCTTAAAAGAGATTGAGGATGAGGGGCATGAGTAGGCTCGCAACGGGCGCAACCCTCGCCGCGGCCGTGAGCCTGATGACCCTTATCGTCATCCTCCTCTTTCTCCTGGTGAGCTTGTTCTGCTCGCTGGCTCGGGAGAAGAGGCATCAATGTCGAAATGATGATGATGATGATGTCGCGGTCGAGTCGGAAGGGCGGCCGCCTCGGCCTCTAAGCTTTCCTTTCTACGGCCACGGAGTGTTGAGAGCTCCGACTAAGTATCTCCTCTCCGTTCCCAATCTCGAAGCCGCGGCGGCGAAACAGGCCTCGCCATCTCCATCTCAGGACGAAGAGAGTTTTGTGCGTATTTCTAATCCAATGTACGACGGAACGAGTGCAGCCGCAATAGAAGAAGTTGGCGCAGATGCTGGTGGTGCTGTATTTGAGGCTCCGAAGTCCTCGGCTCCGCGTTTCGAAGGGGATGAGGAGAGCTTTTCACCTCCGTTGAAATTAATGAAGAAGCTGTCCTCCTCTATAGTGCAGCCTAAGGCTTCTTCTGCGTTGTTCGATGGCCGGAGGTCTCTCGGGGGTTCGACAGAGACGAACAGGCCATCTTCCTCTTCCTCTTCCAATTCTCCCTGCTCTTCACCTTCTTGGTAGTTTCTTTGGTAGAAAATCCCAAACTCCATTATTCAGGATTTTTTTTTTTTTCCTTTTGGTGTTTCTATGTAGTTGTTAGCAGGGGAAGATGCACGCACTGGTTGGGTGAGTTGTGTGTGTATCGTACTGAGCGTGAGTCTTGGGGGCTGAAAATAGAGAAGGCGTTGCTTGATTCCTAGGCTTTTCTGGTCAAGTTTTTAGTCTTATTAATTGTAGTGAATTGTTCCTATCACTTGTTTTCTTGCGTCTATATTTTTTTATCTATTTATTTATCTGTGACTTGTGTGTTATTTTTGTCTTTTGGCTAGCAGGTGAGGATGCTTGTCCTTTTGTTCTGCTAACTCGTGCTTCCGGTTTGAATTATATAAACTAATAAACGTTACGACCGGAGGTCAAACAACTTTTGCTACTCTTCCCTGCTTATTCTCATTCACGCTGGCTTGCTTTGATACCCCCACTCTCTCTCTTCTTTATGCTTGACAACAGGGCAAGCAGCAGGAGTTACCACCGGGTCGAATTTAACCCGAAATCCTTATCATCTAACCTGATTATTTACCAACACTCCCCCGCCCAAGGAACATGAATCCTTACACATGCGGACAAATTTTCAAAACCAACCTATTTGGAAATTTAATCTCAGAAATCAAACCCTTTCAAACTTAATTGCAAAAACCGACCTGGTTTCAGCATTGGCGCTGAAATCAGGTCTGTTTTTGTGAAAAAACTTCGGAAACTTCACGGGAGTTGAACTCCCTTGAAGTTTAGCAAAACTGCTAAACTTCACGGGAGTTGAACTCCAACTCCCGTGAAGTTTCGCTGTTCAAAAAAAATTTTGAACTACAAAACTTCTTTTTTTGAACTGCGAAACTTCATGGGAGTTCAACTCCCGTGAAGTTTAGCAGTTTTACTAAACTTCACGGGAGTTCAACTCCCGTGAAGTTTCGGATAAAATTTTTTAAAAACCGACCTGGTTTCAACTCCAGGGCTGAAACCAGGTCGGTTTTTAAAATTTTTTGCAAAAACGGTCGTTTTTTGAAAATAAATAGTGAAAGGGGTTGGTTTTGAAAATTTGTCCTTACACACGCGCATGGGTAAATTACACTAACCCCAGTGTTTTGCAGTAAACTCCCAATAACTTTCAAATCATACCGAAACCCCCAATAACTTTCAGCATTTGTCATAAATAAACTTTGAATTGCGGAAAATCCCCAGTAAGTTTTTGCGTTTTGCAGATAACCCCCATAAATTAAAACCAAAAGCAAGCATAAAAAGACATTTCAGAGGACAATTTCAATAAGGAAAGAAAAAGAGTTTTCGGACCCCCAACTTGGACGCTAACAAGAGGAGAACAAATGACAAAAGATGAGAGTTCGTTTTGGTTGAAATATAAAAAGGTAACGGAGGAGTTTTTTTAAATAATTAGGGGGTATTTTGTTATTTTTTAGTCACTTGAGTTGCACGTGCAACGTCAAATATAACGGTGTTAACATTGGGTTTTCTTTTTGCAAAAGTTACTAAGGGGTTTAGGGCCAATTTGATATTACTATTTAAGAGTGCTTGCATTTATTTTTTTTCAAATAGTAGTAAATAGCAGTGTTTGGTAAAATTTAATTTGAGTACTTATTGAAAATGCTATTTCTTTAAAGGAGTGATTTTTGGGAGTACTTTTAAAAAGCAGCTTTTATTTTTTATAGTTTTATACCATATATACTCTTTAGATTTTGGAATTATTATTTATCAATTCTAAACTTATATTGTCTGTTTTGATAGCTAAACTTATGTCTACTTTTTTCATTTACACGTATACTGATCTTTAAGCACAATTTTATTAGTGCCTTAATGCTTTTGTAAGTAGTTAATAGTACGTATATGATTACCAAACAAATATCTTCAGCAGTTTATATATGTTACTTCTATAAGTTGCTTAGATAATCAACTTATCATAACAAACTTGCCCTTGGTGTGATTTTGAAAGTTAATAAGGGTTTACTGCAAAACACTAAAAGGTCTTAGGAGTTTAGTGTCATTTTGAAAGTTATCATGGATCTACTACAAAATGCTGAAAGTTCTTGGAAGTTTAATTTAATTTAACCTATGCATGCCCATTCGGTAACAGGAAAATGCATCCAATGCCGTTAACATTATTGCTCGGTGAGCCTTTAATTTTTTACTCTCATGCATTATATTGTTTGGTTTTGATTATTCACTTCCTATTGGCATTTTCTATAGTAACCAAACAACAAGAATAAAGCAAATGTCATTTCATTTACTATCTCAACTCTCTATTTTTTATTTCCTATAGTATAAAACATTGAAAAGTTAAAAGGTGTAAAACCCCATATATAGATAAACTTATCGGGTTCATATCTTATTCCTGTATTATTTTGAATATAAGTATATGATAAATGCTAAATATCTTTTCTTTCCCCCCTCCATACTTTCACAATCCATCATATACCTCATATCATTTTTTGGATTTTTCCCGATGATTGTCGATTAAATCTTTAATATTTTGAAACTAGTCTATGAAATGGTTGAAATTGCTACTAGATCCCTGATAAAAAATCTTTTTTGCTCTCTTCAATACGAGAACATTCTCCTGGAAACAGAGCGAGCGCATGTACGTACTCTACCTCCACCTCCACCTCCACCGTGCTGCGTCTTCCATCTTCAGTCCAACTCCAATATTTCTGTCACCTCCAAATCTCTCCATCTTACCATTCTTCATGTTTTATCGTTGCGGATTTGTTTACATCTTCTTTCCCTCCATCTGCCTGCTTTCTCCCTTTCCCACTTCTTCTCTATGTAACGTTACCTGCGCGCGCCCACCATCTTCAACACCGTCTCTTCAATCTCCGAAATAACTATTCACAGGGGAAAAAGAGAGAGAATTCACCGAAAGGACTATCCACATGCAAGACAAATATATTATTCACATAAAAGACACACATCCCACAAAAATGATATGCATCTAAATAAAAGTTGACTATTTAAAATAAAAAAATAGTCATATTTACATAATGTTTGACAGATATATAAAAGGCTGTTTTTTCAATCTAATATGGAAAATTTCAACTAAGAGATATATTAGTTGGTTAAGATAATTTATCTTTAGAAGAAATATGTGATAATCAAACCATTGTTTACTTAAAATCTCTGTTTTGAAAATTGAATAATATTTTCTTTGAGTATAATATCTTTAAAATGTATTCCTTTCTGTAGTGCATCAGTCGTTTTCCAAATCCCATTGTGGTATGAAGAGATGATTACTGTTATCAAAGATTGTCCTTGTGTTATTAATTCTGCATTTTATATAGGATATACTACTATGAATGATCTCCTTCTTTATGTGTGTAAACCATGCATGAAAAATAACTCCCGATTAAAGATTACCTTTCCGGGATATATATTTTGGAAGGATAACCACATATCTACTGTTGATCTTCGAACAACGGCCAAAGGGCGGCCATATTGATATGGCGAGAAGCCCTGTAGACCACTCCGCGACTACCGCATAAATCACGAACTTAATCGGAGAAGGAGATGATGGTTTTATGAAGGTTTATGGTCCTTTCTCTCACTCTTTTATCATGAAAATCCTATATCTCTATATGAAGGTCTTAGAGATAGAATCCTACCACTCATTAGGACTATAAATATCTTATCTCTATAATAAGATATTTATCGACCCACTTCTTTGGGTGTCTGTCTCACAATAATAACCAACAAACTCCCACTCACATAAATGAGTGGGTGTCATCCATTGCTCTCTAAGCTTACTCCTTGAGTCGTTGACTCCTTAAGTCAAAGTTTCCCTGAGAATCTTCTTCCTTTTAAAAGTCATGCGCACACATTGTTAGTGCGGTGTGGACAGTTGAGAACCTGCAAGGGGCAACCTTGCAGTCAGATCCGTTAGAACTGACACAAGGATCTCCCTAAGAAAATAAAAATACACAAACAACATGTAAGTATGCGGTACAAATTGTACCCCACATCTGATCAACCATGTCTGTTTAAGTATCTTCAATCCCTCAAAGAAGCATACATGAACACCTGGGTTTGCTAGATGCATCGCACTCTTAAAACCTCTCTCTGTCCTAAATAAGAGTTGCGCATGCGATGCAGTCAGGAGACATCTTAATTGACCTCTAGTCCTGTATAGTTGAGCGTGTTAATCATCCGCTTTCCTCACACTTCCCTATATGTGCGGTATTGTCTTATTGCAGTAGAAAATAATAGTCAAAAATAGCGGACGCTCATAACAGCCTTACCAGACAGCTCATTGTCTCTAAGGTGTATAGTGACTGCCCTCCATTAGTGGTGGTCATTTATAAAGGCTCACCTAGCGAGGGAGTAGGGATCCATCCCTTGACCTCCTTCTATCCTGTCCAAACACACGTCATGTGGCATCGTGCTATGATATTTCTTCTCTCTCCTTGAGAACTTACATTATTAAATGAGTACCATATAGACCCAAGTTTCATTACGTCATAATAAACGTGTCTGAATATATCGCTCTGTGATATGCCTGGGATCTCCCAACAAGCTTGCACCTCGTGTGCCAAGTCAGGCTCCTAGTCTGGCTGATAGTAAATAGGTAAAGTGAACATGGGGTTTCCACTTTCGTCACTTCAACATATAAGTATATATAACCTCGTTCTGACCTGGTTAAGGTGACCAAGAGAGTGCTCTTGCTATCACCCTACCCAGTAACATGATAGCATAGCCATTGCTCCAAGCCAAATGACATTCGACACTCGGTCTCAGCTTTGACCACTGCTGCTCCAAAGGGGATCTCTTGTGTGATAAGAGCTCCTACCTGCTAATGTAATTTTGTAATAGTGCACCAGTGCCCTTTGGTACCCTATACCCATCATAATATTCATATACTCCATGCCGTGATAATCAAGCAATAATAAGACAAAAAATCCCAAATATGCATATAGATGGAAAAAAGACAATCAAATAAAATATAATGTCTTATAAAGTCGTCATCCGTAATAACCTAACTGTCTACGGTCTTCATGTAAAAATCATCATTAAAGACATAGCCTATAAGGCTAAGATGTGTTGCATTAACTACTCCTCAGTTATTCCCTTTATTAGTTGATCCCTGATCAACTGACTCATAAGGATACACTTAGCACAACTTCCTCCTTCTCTTAGTTCTTT